ATATAATTTGCACATTTCTATAAATATGGATTGAATCCTAAACCAAAAAGTAAGTACTGTTAAATGTTATGTGGTTTACAATTCCTTCATTCATATATTAATAGTATTTATAGGCCACCTATCCATATACACTCTGGGGACTGAAGAGCAATTTCAACACATAATAAAATAACAGCAAAAACAAGAGCAGCAACATGGTGCAGAATTCCTTTGCAATATTGAATCAGCAAAACATTTCTAGTCTATGCTGATTTCAGTGTTGAAATTCATCAGTAAGAAAGGAAATAAAGGACAGGAAAGAACAGGGATGGGCGGGTGGGCGGGCCCACATGCTCATTGCAGCGAACCGGTTTGGAGACAGCTGATTACCCAAACCGGTCCAAACCAGTAGAATCCCACCCCTGATTAATGCACGCCTCGTAGCGTGTGGTATTTTAATCTATACTGTCTGGAATGTTGAGATAATTCAGGGGTTGCAATAATTGTTCTGTCAGAGTTTAAGAAGAAACATTCTTTGCATATAACCATTTTTTCCCCTCAATCCAATAACTTCCAAGAATGCTGGTCAATCAACAAAAGTAAAATGCACATAAAAGTATTTGTGTTTGTAGAAATATTTTTTTAATTGGAAGGCTGCATCTCCCTTGCCAGGAATTCATCATATAGTACATACATCATGACTCTATATTAAGGGTGTCAAACTCAAGGCCTGGGGACTGGCCCACAATGCCTCTGCCAGCAAAGACAGAGCTCTGGGAGGCCGTTGTGGCCAAAAACAGGGCCCAGGGGGGTACGTGCGACCAACCCAAGTTTTATTTTCACTGTCAGAACACTCGGACCACCACAGGTGCTCCTGAGATGAGTGATGTCAAGCTGTCCATGCTCACCCTGACCACACTCAACCCGGCCTCCAAGGTCAAACACAACCCTAATTCGACCCTCAATGAAATCAAGTTTGACACCCCTGCTTTATATGTTTGGATAGGTATCTTAGAATGCATAATCAGACACCTGGATTGCATACACTGATCTGAATACCAGACTTCTAATTTACTTCATTTTTGGCATGTTATAATGAAATGAGGGCATTTTATTTCATCTGAATATTGCTTCACATTCTGCAATTGCAGTTGGTGGCATAAATAAATCTGTTTAAAAGCTTTTCTTTCACTTCTAGCTGCGTGTCAGAGAAAAGGGACAGATTGAGAAGTTGTTTTTCACTTTCTTTCCTCACAGGCATTATTTGAATCAAATTAAAAGCACGTGAAACAGACATAGAACTCCAAGCAGTGTCACACTTAAAAAAATTACTGTACTTAAAAACAGGTTCATTAGGCATGGGTCAGGACCAAAGACAAATTTTTAAAGTTACATATAATAAGGCTCTTGTATTTTTAAAGTTACATATAAAAGGGCTCTTGTATTCAGTGAAACAATTATGAGTACCAGTGTACAACTCTTCCAGCAGACTCCTTGCCATTAAAGTTTGTCAATCAATATTGACAATAGCTTGAAACATGCAGAATATTGTCACAGATCACAGTACAACTAATACCTTCATCGTCAGGTTAAAGCCATTCAAACTCATGAGGATGCTTTAATTACAGATACTTTATGTTTTGTGAACTTTTGGCAAGGAGTCATAGATAATCAGCCCATATGTATGTATATGTAAACTGAGAGTGGAATAGAACAGAGTAGAGTAGAGTAGAGTAGAGTGAATAGAATAGAATAGAATAGAATAGAATAGAATAGAATAGAATAACAGAGTTGGAAGGGACCTTGCAGGTCTTCTAGCCCCTGCTTAGGCAGGAAACCCTAAACCATTTCAGACAAATCTCTTCTTAAAAACTTCCCTTGTTGGAGCATTTATAACTTCTGGAGGCAAGTTGTTCCACTGATTAATTGTTCTGTCAGGAAATTTCTCCTTAGTTCTAGGTGCTTCTCTCCTTGATTAGTTTCCACCTATTGCTTCTTATCCTGTCCTCAGGTGCTTTGGAGAATAGCATACAGGTGAAACTCAAAAAATTAGAATATCGTGCAAAAGTTCATTTATTTCAGTCATGTAACTTAAAAGGTGAACCTAATATATGAAATAGACTCATTACATGCAAAGCAAGATAGTTCAAGCCGTGATTTGTCATAATTGAGATGATTATGGCTTACAGTTCATGAAAACCCCAAATCCACAATCTCAGAAAATTAGAATATTACATGCAATCAATAAAACAAGGATTGTACATAGAACAATATCGGACCTCTGAAAAGTAGAAGCATGCATATGTATTCAGTACTTGGTTTGGGTCCCTTTTGCAGCAATTACTGCCTCAATGTGGCGTGGCATGGAAGCGATCAGCCTGTGGCACTGCTGAGGTGTTATGGAAGACCAGGATGCTTCAATAGCGGCCTTCAGCTCTTCTGCATTGTTTGGTCTCATGTCTCTCATCTTTCTCTTGGCAATGCCCCATAGATTCTCTATGGGGTTCAGGTCAGGCGAGTTTGCTGGCCAATCAAGCACAGTAATCCCATGGTCATTGAACCAGGTTTTGGTGCTTTTGGCAGTGTGGGCAGGTGCCATGTCCTGCTGGAAAATGAAGTCAGCATCCCCATAAAACTTGTCTGCGGAAGGAAGTATGAAGTGCTCCAAAATTTCCTGGTAGATGGCTGCATTGACCCTGGACTTAATGAAGCACAGTGGACCAACGCCAGCAGATGACATGGCTCCCCAAGTCAACACACACTGTGGAAACTTCACACTGGACTTCAAGCATCTTGCAGTGTGTGCCTCTCCATTCTTCCTCCAGACTCTGGGTCCTTGGTTTCCAAATGAGATGCAAAAGTTGCTCTTACCAGAAAAGAGGACTTTGGACCACTGAGCAACAGACCAGTTCTGTTTTTCTTTAGCCCAGCTTCTGACGTTTGTTGTTCAGGAGCAGCTTGGCAAGAGGAATACGACATTTGGAGCCCATGTCCAGGATCCGTCTGTGTGTGGTGGCTCTTGATGCACTGACTCCAGCCTCAGTCCACTCCTTGTGAAAGTCCCCAACACTTTTGAATGGCCTTTTCCTGACAATCCTCTGCACACTGCAGTCATCCCTGTTGCTTGTGCACCTTTTTCTTCCACACTTTTCCCTTCCACATAACTTTCTATTAATGTGCTTTGATACAGCACTTTGAGAACATCCAAATTCTTTTGCAATTACCTTTTGAGGCTTTCCCTCCTTATGGAGGGTGTCAATGATAGTTTTCTTCACAACTGTCAGGTCAGCAGTCTTTCCCATGATTATGCTTCCTACTGAACCAGACTGAGAGACCATTTAAAGGCTCAGGAACCCTGTGCAGGTGTTATGGCTTAATTAGCTGATTAGAGTGGGACACTTTGAGCCTAGAATACTGAACCTTTTCACAATATTCTAATTTTCTGAGATTGTGGATTTGGGGTTTTCATGAGCTACAGCTACAGCCATAATCATCTCAATCATGACAAATCATGGCTTGAACTATCTTGCTAGGTCAGATCCGTGTATCTGTCATTTCTTCAGTGGAGGAAGAAAAGGGGAGGGAGGCTGATAAAGAAATCCTTTCTTGATGTAACCTGGATATATTTAATCTTATATCAAATTTGTATAACCCACACATGATACAATGGAGGGAGAAAAGCCAGATGGCCAGAACTATCACCTCTGAGAGGCACAGCCAGGAGATGAGAAGATCATAAAAATTCCCCAGTGAGATGTGTCCTGGGAATCTCTGGAAAAGTTCGTTCTAAAAAGGAGGTGGGGGGAAATTAGGTATGCCCTGGGAAACTGTGCAAAAGATCGTTCCTTACAAAAGGGGTGGGGAGGAATTAACATACTGGTTTTTGTTTCACTAAATACACATCGAGATAAGGGGAGGGATTCTAAACTCCCTTATCTATCCCTGTATGCCTGAGAGACCTCAGACGCTGCTTTGAACTCCTACAGGAATTGTCTCATCTCAATAAAGAATTCCTTTTTGATACGTTTTGATACATTTTCAGAAGTTCATTCTAGTTGAGTGAATGGGAAAAGTTCTGTAGCCTGACATAAAGCAGTGTCTGCAATAGAGGTCAGCCCGGAGAGGAAAATTTTTTTTTAAAAAAACCCTTCTCTCTACCAAGGGGACCCTGCAAGAAAGGAAAATGTCTGAGCACAGCAAGGACCAAAGAGAAGCCGAATGCTGGGGAGAAACATCGACAGTTACTCAGCCAGATACTGACTTGGTGCACCCCATCGAAGACAGCAAGGCTGCCTACGAAACCTCCACAAAGCCCCGGTGGTCTATAGGCGAAGGAAAGAGAGACAGCTGGGACAGAAGAACCAGAGGAGTAACCCTCACCCGGGGCAATCGTAAACCTGGGTGGAAATTGGAGCTGGAGGCCCTATCGAATCAGGAAGAATGGGACGAGGAGCCACCGGCCGACGACCGAATGAGACGGTACATAAATCGCCTCATGAGGGAAGCCCTGGAGAACCTCAACGTGAGGGATGCACCAGGACGACAATGCAGGAGAGCGAGCGAACCAGAAAATGAGAGAACCCGAACCGCTTGAGAGACCTCAGACGCTGCTTTGAACTCCTACATGAATTGTCTCATCTCAATAAAGGATTCCTTTTTGATACGTTTTGATACATTTTCAGAAGTTCATTCTAGTTGAGTGAATGGGAAAAGTTCTGTAGCCTGACACTTGCTTTGCATGTAATGAGTCTATCTCATATATTAGGTTCACCTTTTAAGTTGCATTACTGAAATAAATGAACTTTTGCATGATATTCTAATTTTCCGAGTTTCACCTATATAACAGAATATAACAGTCACATGAGGTAATATTATTACCAGATACTGTTTAAACTTATTGTTTAACTGAACATTATTAAATGTATGGTTTAAGTACATTAGTTATGCATCCACAAATTATTAGTTTTATTCATCCTTCTACAAAGAATTCTGAGCATTTAAAATGAAGTAATGAAACTAACCTGATGAAGGTCATTACCCAGTGCATATTCTTGAAAATAACCTGGCGCTGCAGATGATGCTCTGATAGCTTGCCACAATTTATAATGGCAACCCCCAAGATAGTGAGACTTTACTCCAGGGAAATGATTGTAATTTCTAAATACAAAGGCTTTCAGTGGTGTTCCTCTGCTTACAATAGTGCTTATGGCAGCCACCTAATAAAAACAAAATACTAAATTTTATCAAATTATAACTGCTTACCGAATTATCACGATCCCTGTCTTACAACAATCAGCTATTAACACATTAGGTTAGATCAATCTAGGATTACATCATTCATATTCATACTTATATATGTATATTTATAAATACACAGAAACACATATATACAGCAACACACATATACAGAATAAATGGGATGTAAATTAAAATATTTCCATTGTATGTATGTGTGTGTGTGTGTGTTTGTGTATACACACACACACACACACACACACACACATAAATATATATGAAAGTATTTTTACTAAGAGAATGTAGTGGCTTTATGGTTAAGCACTGGGCTTGTTGACCAGAGGATTGGCAATTGGACTCAAGCATAAGCATGATGGGGTGAGTTACCATTCTTTCTTCAGTTCCTGCCAACCTAGTAGTTCCAAAAGCATGGAAATGCAAATAGATAAATAGGTACCACTTTCATGGGAAGTGTTCCGTGTGCTTTGTCATATAGGCACATGACCACAGATGTGTTTTTGAACAATGGTAGTTCCCTCAGCTAAGAAATGGAGATGAGCATTGCCCCCTAGAGTTGGACACCACTGGACAGGGGAAACCTTTACTTTTTTTTTTTTTTTTTACTAGTCAGAGATATGTCTGAATGCATTATCTGATATGGTTTCAAATTCATATTCGAAGAAAAAATAAAACGAGCCCCCGGGCCCTTATTCCATCATGTCCCTGTACATTCCATTTGATGAGGTCTTTGTCTTCCGAAGCCATGTAATTTGCTCAGTTTTGATATTCACATTGTAGCTATTTTGATATAGTTGAATGTAACAGAGTGGGAAATTATGGCGTTATTGAAAAAAACAACAATAAATCTTTCTATTTTTAACACAATGATAATCACACCACACAGAGTCTCAAAGCATGGTAATTGTTACTATTTCTGAAAGACGTTCTGTCCTTCTAGCCCTCCATTAGTATAAAGCAGTTTTCTTAAGAAAAATAAAGCTGTACACAAGATGAAAATGAACAAAATCTGTATCATGTTTCAGAGATTATAAATTAGAAAGGAATGTATTATTGTTTCCCAGCATAAAACAATAAGCACTGGGTCTTCGAGGCTCCTGTACAGTAATGGACACAAATTGACCAATTCTGCCTTGAATTGATACTCCTGGTATGTCAGCAAATAAACATTGTTACGGCGGAAAGATGACGTCTTATAGTATTCTTTTCTTGGTCTGCTATTGATTCTCTCCACAATTTTAAACTTAGAATATTTTGTAAGTTGGAAGAAATTTCCCTGGCAAAGGGTAAGCTCTGGAAATCAACGCTTTTGGTCACCGGATGATTGGATAGTCTCAAAGAGATTCTTGAAGTAGTAATTGGGTAAATCTCTGCCTGGAGGTGAGGCAACCAAGAAGCAAGTTCATGGTGGAAGAACTAGGAATTTAAAACAGACAATAAAGTCTGTCACCGTTTCCTAGACACTACGGCAGCTTTTTGCATATTTACTTCTCACTTTGAAAGGGCTCCTTCTGTCTGCAGCCTGCTTTCTCTCCTTTTTGTTGAAATACCTTCATTTCTGAAGCTTAAGATGGGGAGGAGGAGGTGGAGGAGTTGGTGTATCCAAGCCAAAATAAAGAAAATGGAAATCACTATGGAAACTACAGGTGACTTACAACAATTCATTTAGTAACGGTTCAAAGTTACAACGGGATTGAAAAAAGGGACTCATGACCATTTTTCACCTGCGACCATTTAAGCATTCCCATGGTGATGTGATCAAAATTCAGATACTTGGGAATGGATTCATATTTAGGATGGTTGCAATGTCCTAAGGTCATGTGATCACCTTCTGTGACCTTCTGTCAAACAAACTCAATGGGGAAGCCAAATGCACTTAACAACCGTATTACTAACTTAACAACTTCAATGATTCACTTAACAAATGTGGCAAGTAAAAGTTGTAAAATGGGACAAAACTCATTTAACAAATGTAACACTTAACAACAGAACGATGGACTCAATTGTGGTCCTAAGTCTAGAACTACTTGTGCTTTTGAAACTTCTAGGCTTAAATCTTCTAGAGCCAGGGCTATCAAATTCACAGCCTGCAGGCCAGATGCGTCATGTGTTGGCCATGCTCCCTCTCGGTTTAGCAAAGGGGGAAAAAAGTCCCGATACGTCATGTGACGCTGCGGCGATGATGTGAGTTTGATACTTCTGTTCTAGAGGATTTTATATCTTTAATTGATTCTCCTGAACTTCTTTGTCTTTAAAATAAAGATTACCTAAATAATGATTTGATCCTATTGTGAGGAGGGGGAGAAATAGATTTTAAATGTTTCTAATTAGACCAGTTGTGTGGGTTGTTAAAACAAAGAGGCACAGACAAAGGTGGGATTTTTTTTGTAGCTTATATTTATATTTATGTATAGTGATGTTGTTTGACCACACGAGGGAGCCAAAAGACTTAATTATTAATTCTGATTAACTCTTCAGTAGCATCATTTAACCCAGGGGTCGCCAACCTTTTGGACCTCAGGGACCACCAAACTCATACTTTTAAATCCCGAGGACCACTAATATGAATGAATGTACTACAATTTACTATAATTTTATGTTTTATATTAAATATAAATTTAATATTTAAAATTAATTTTAATATAAATATATAAATATTTTTCTAAATATAAAATGCTTATTTAATTATAACAAAATCATAAATGCTTAATCATGACTGGGGCAGAGCGAAGGGAAAGGAGGGGCCCCTCAACATTTGGGGGGAAAAGAGGATTTAATACTGCTGGGATTCAAAAGAAGCCACGTGGTGCCTGGAGGCTGGAAGATCTGGACAGGGAGGGACTGGCTCCCCCTCAAACAGAAGAAAAGCAGATCCCCCCCCCAAAAAATCTGGTCTCCTGTCATCTCATATCTCCCCCAAGCCAGGTGTAGCTGCCTGGAGTTGCGGAAGGGAAGGAGGGCTGGGCTGGAAGCGCCAAGGATGATGGCTCCTAATAACCAGGCAACACCCCCCCCTTGGCCTCCCCATAAGAAGAGGACTCCCCGAGGCTAAGCTCCAGGTTTCTCTCACCGCTTCCAAGTAGAGAAGGGTCCCCCCCTGTGTGGATGCCGGGGGGGGGGGGGGGGGGCGGGTAAAAACGGGGCCCCCCCCCCCCCAACAACCGCGGGGTTAGGAGGCCCCCCTCCCCCCGCGCGCTCTTTTGGCCTGGGCATTTGGCCCCCCCCCCCCCCACACCCGCCCCATGCCAAAGGAAAGCCAGCTGGGCTTCTCCTTCCCCCTGCTCCCTTCCTCCCACTCAATCCCACTTCGGGACCGAGGAGAGAGCGTTGGAAACGTGTGTTGGCATTTCCAACATGCATCTCTCAGGCGCTCGCCCGCAATGCTTCATGGTCTTCTAGGCCTGGCTTGCTGGGGGGGGGGGAGAGCAGCCCTGATGTCTCTGCTGCCACCCCCCCCCACGGGAAAAGAAAGCGAGCAGAAACATAGCTCTCGCTGGGGCGAAAGAGCGGAGATTGGAAGGCACAGGCAACAGAAAGCGGCACGTTTCAAAGGCGACAGCTTCTGTCATCTCTTGCCTGTGCCTTCCTCAACCTCAGCTCTTTCGCCCCAGCGAGAGCCATGTTTCTGCTTGCTTTTCCTGTGTTTTCTCCGGGCAGCGATGGAGAGAGAAAGAGAGGGGGATACAGAAAGAGAGAGAGAAAAAGAGGGAAAGAGAGAGGGGGAAGAGAGAAAGAGAGAAGGAAGATACAAGAAAGAAAAGAAAGAGAAAAGGGAAAGACAGAAAAAGGGAGAGAGAAAGGAACTGAAAAAAAAGAGGGGGATGGAAGGAAGGGGCAGAAAGAAAGGGAAAGAAAGAAAGGGAAAGAAAGAAAGAAAGAAAGAAAGAAAGAAAGAAAGAAAGAAAGAAAGAAAGAAAGAAAGAAAGAAAGAAAGAAAGAAAGAAAGAAAGAAAGAAAAAGAAGAGAAAGCAAAAGATATATGGATGGATAAATACATGGAATGAGGGAGGGAGGGAGAGAGAAAAAAAGGAGACGAAGGAAGGACATAAACCCTGGCTTCAGAAGACTTTGAAGCAGCAACAGCAATCTAGGGCTGGCCTGAAAGGGATCTCGGAGGTCATCTAGTCCAACCCCCCCCCAGCAGGAGATCCTTACAGAATCAAAGAATAGAAGGTTTAGAAGGGTGTGTGTGTGTGTGTATGTGTGTCTGTCAAAGCACCAAAAACAGGCCAAGTAGCTCTGTGGAGGTCAGTCGTAAATTAGAACACTTGCTAAGCAACTGGCCATTAAGTGAGGACCACTTACATTTGGTTTGCCAGGCACATGGCCACCTGCCCGGGCCTCGCCCTGCCCTCTCCAGGGCTCCCCAGGCCTTGGAAACTGGCAAAAAACACTTGCTAAGCAACTGGCCATTAAGCGAGGACCACTTACATTTGGTTTGCCAGTCACATGGCCACCTGGCCACACCCATCCCAGTCACATGATCATCTAGCCATGCCCAGTCAGCAAGCCATTCCCACCCCAGTCACATGACCAAGACAAACCCACAAATTAGGCCACGCCCACAGAACAGGTTGTTAAGAAATTTGAATCCCACCCCTGCTTGCAATTGATACTCTATTTAAACAATGACAGATGGATATTTCTAAATTTATATGGCAAGGGGAAAAAAATTAAGAATTAGATATAAACTACTGTAAGAAGCTAAGGAGAGGGGGTTTGGGGTTTACTAGGCTTGAAATTGTATTTTGATGCTTGTTATTTGGTTTGGCTAAAAGAGTGAACTTCCAGAATACTTGATCTAGAACAGTGGTGGCTAACCTTTTTGGGGTCCTGTGCCAAAAATTGTGTGCACGCTTGCACGCTCGCACTAACGTGCCAGCACCCAGAAGGCAATGCACACACCCCCACGCCCCTACACATGTGCGTGTAATCCCCACCCACCCGTCGCCCCTTACCTGCACTGTGCTTCACAGCTGATTTTCGGCCGGTTTGAGGCCTTTTTCCGCCTCCCAGAGGCTTAAGGAAGGTTTCTGCAGGCCGAAAACTAGCCCCGTTTCGTCACTTCCAGTATTTTCGGAAAAACAGGAAGTGACAAAACGGGGCTAGTTTTGGGCCTGCAAAGCCTTCCTCAAGCCTTTGGGAGACTGTGAGGCACGCGCCATGTGCAGTGAGGTAAGTTTGCCTGCAGCTCGCGTGCCAGCACAAATGGCTATGCGTGCCATCTGTGGCACACATGCCACAGGTTTGCCATCACGGATCTAGAAGGTCATGAATGAAGATCTGGATGGCAGAGTCATTGATGGTATGACAAGGTTAAAGTAAATGTTGATATTTATAATCACTTTGTTAGACGTGCCATTTTAAGAGTTCGGAATAAATATAAAATAAGGTTTTTTTTAGAAAAGAAACGGTGGCAAAGCCAGACTGGTGGAATTAAGGGTCAAATAATATCTTTTAATATTGGTGATTCTATCCTCAAATCTAAGAAAGAGTTAGAATCAGAAGGATAAGTCTGCCATTGGTTTACATATTTACAATTGAAAAAAAGATTGAAATTAGATAAAAAGAGTTATGGGTTTGACTTTGTTAAAAATGATTTGGAAGTCCTACGGTATAGTAGTGATGATTATATTATTGCTAGGATCTATAAATTGTTATTGAATTTGATTTGGAAAATGAATATGTAAAGCATTGCATTAGAGGGCAAGGAATTTTGGATATAATGTAATGTTTGAACAATGGGAGAATGTGTGGATGAAAGGTTTAAAATTTACAACAAATTATAATTTAAAAGAAACATTTTATAAGATAGGTGTTGTTGATATTTAATACCAGACAACTAGTCAAGAATGTATAACAGTGTTTCAAATGAATGTTGGAAATTCAAATGTAAAGAAGGGACTTTATATCATTTATGGTGGTTAGGTGATAAAGCAAAGAAATATTGGATTCATATCCAAATACAGAAAATTCTTGAAGTTTAACATAAAGATAAAACCAGAAACTTTTCTTTTGGGTTTAATGGAAAAACACTTGGAAAAAATATTGAAATCTTGGAGTTATATATGTTGACAGCAGCAAGATTAGTTTATGCACAAAAATGAAAGACATTTTTGATTCCCACAATAGATGAATGGCTGCAAAAGTTGATGGGGTTAGCAGAGATTGCTAAATTGACTGCTTTGATAAAAGAAAAAGCACGTAACTACTTTGTTTACTTGGAAATTCCCACCACTGGCCTCGCCCTCTCCATCCCACTGTGTGCTTATCCACGGCTACAATGGGCCAAGCCTCTTGGTGCATCCTGGCCTCCGCTTGCCCTTTATGCTACACCTGGCTGCTGCTAGGGGCTGGGGGCAGCACAGGAGCCACTCCCACTGCCGCCTGTTGGCCTAGCCAAAGAGCAGCCCGGCCTGGGCGCCACCGGCTCCCAGAGCAGCAGATGCAGCAAGCCGAGCAGCCTTGGGGCTAGTGATGGCAACGGTTTCTGAAATCGATCTGGAGAAGAATGGATGGCTTCTTCCTGTTCAGCCTCTTCTGCATTCGCCAAAAGAGCCAAGTGGCAATTGATCAGGGAGAGGGGTAGGGGTGTGAGGAAATCTTCCTCCCCCACAGGCGTCTCCCCAATGAGAGCAATGTCAGCTGGCCACGCCCACCTCCCCACCACGCACTGATGATGCTCTTAACTAGGGCTTATTCTGGGGGTAGAGCTTATATTGCGAGCAGCATGAAAAATCAGGGAAGGGCTTATTTTTGGGGTGGGTCGTAAATAAATAAGCCCCAACCAGAAAATAAGCCTGAATGTGTCTTTTGGAGCAAAAATTAATATGACCCAGTCTTATTTTCGGGAAAACACAGGTAACAACAAATTCAAGGAAATAGTAAATACCTTAGGAAAATCAACTTACCTTAGGACATCTAGGATCTCTTGCTGTTTCAAACATAACATCGGATCCCATTCGTTCCCTACACAAACCAGATAAATGGCTAAGATTACAATTTTAGAGTTTTGTAGCTTCTTAGGAACCACAGCTCTACATTCATTTCTCTAGCTTGATTAAAATCAATGTTTAAAAGTATGTGCTAAAAGTGAGAATTAGCTTTGATATATGTCTGATTAGCACAGTATCCCTATCCCTGATCATAATAATTTCCACAGATAATTTCTATTACTCTATTTCTATTAATTTTAATACCATGGTTTTGATTTTTTAAAAAAGAACTTAAATCCTGAATGCCTTTGGGATTTAGAATCAGTTCAGTAAAAAAATATTCTTATTACTGTTTTTGCTTCTTTTATAGAAAGAAAGAATAACCCATTAGAGTATTTCAGTATTACCAGCTTTTCTTGACAGATAAGTTCATTTAAAAACAGTAAAATTGAAAGCAGTGAGAATCTTAACTTTTCAAAAATAGCAGTTAGACATAGATTCAGAAAAAAACCCAGAATCCATGAACACCGGCTGGCAGTCAATCCCCAAATCCTTAATCTCTACTCACATTGACACCAAACAGCACCAGTGTCAGTGTTCTGAATAATGCACCCATTGAAAGCAGAATTACAAAGCAGGTAGATTCCTCTAAGAACATATTTATTGGATACATCATATCAGCATAGGTGTAAACCAACTTTGACAGTTCTCACGATTTTCACCTAATTAAAAGATTAATACTTCCCCCCTCCCATGTGTCATCAATCACATTGTCCAATGAATATGGCTGGCAGGCTCCTTTCCTCCTTCACCAGCCACCTGTTACAATGGTCTTGGTTCCCACAGGAAAACTTTTTATTTTGACTGTAACCTGTGCTATCTACTTCCCGTCTCTCCTCCTTTCTCAGGCTTCGTGGCAACTATGAGGCAGGACAAGATGGCTTCAGCCAGGTTTGCTTCAGAGTTTGACTGGAGCAACACAAAAGTCATCAGCCACACTACCACCCACCATGCTTGTGAGTTTATTGAAGCCTAGCACTCCATAAACAATTCCATCAACATACATATTGACGTACAACCAGCCTATGAGCCTCTCAGAATCCAAATCAACCCCACAGCTGACCAGAGAGCACCGGCATTCAACCAACCCATGCAAGGCCCCCAACCAGCACTTCACCTTCCAACGACCCTCAACTAAGTAACCTCCCCATCACAAGACTCCCACTGATGACACATATTTGAGTCATCACAAGACCAATTACAAGACCTTCATTTGACATACCCACACTTGATCCATCACAAGGCCTACTGACCACACAAAGCCCTTATAAGTAGAAGAACACTGACATTGCCATTCCCTAAACTCTGTTGAGTTTGGTAACGAAAATTTGGAAACCAACCCACAAGCTTGGAGAACAAACCTTCACCTTCATATATTCAGAAAACAGAGTTGTCAAATTCATTTCCACAAAACTGCTTTGGATAGCAACATGGACAGTAAATAAATGTAATATATAAATAATCATATAGTTTGCTAGAGTTGAATCAACAGTTGATTTAAATCTCTACAATATTAACCTTAGATAGAGGAAAATCTGTGTTTGAATTAAGGAGACATCATATGATGACTAAATGATGGAACTAACAGTCAAAGGATGGATGTATAAAGCACTGCCTCCCAGTTTATATTCTAGCAGAAGATAACCGGGAATTATAGATAGAAGGCTCTGAAGCTCATGAAGTCTAACTTCAGAATGACCATTTTCTCCCTAGTCTCGGTGAGGAACACAGGTTTAGGTGTTAGTGTATTGATGTAATTCAATTACTTTGTAAAATTAGTAAATCTGTTTAAAAACAAGGTTAATGAATTCCTTTGTTCCTATGTTAATTAGTTGTCTGCCTATCATGATTATTTTCACATCCTGCCTACTTATGCTAAAATATTCTAAGCCATAACATGGATTTAGTGTTGACAGAACAAAACCACAGGAAAAAGACTCCACACCAAGGATATATGATACAGTGTTAGATGGGTTATTGCCCTGTTGTTGCCTCTTTAACTCAAATATTAATTTTCCAAGGGACCACATAACTTACTGTACAAGCCTAGGAAAAGGTGTGGGTTCTTTAAGGAGCCACAAATAAATAAAACAACGAGGCCCACATCTGATTAAAAAAACCCCACTATCTTCATTTAGATCTTTTAGATCTAATTAATATAATAGAGAAGGAGTTCTGTTTTATATTTTAGTTTATACTGAATGAAACATGATTGGTAAATAATTTCATATTAACTTACTTAAGCATTTTCTCCCATATTTCACTGTCATAAAATGCATGGCTCCATCCCATTTTAACTGTTCCAACAATGACATTTTGCTTAAAGACATCTGTTCCTAATTTCCGGTAAAGTTCTTCACATTCATCCAGAGGTATATGGAATAATCCCAACATAAATGCCAATATAGCACCTGCAAATAAATATTTATAAATTTGAACGACAATTTAAATAACTGTCATCTTATGCAAGGATTGGCAACCTAAGATTCCAAACCACATATAGCATACCTGAATCTCTTTTCTGTGGCCTTTAGAGATTCCTCCACCTACCACTGCTAAAAAAAATGGTACCATGGATTCCCATGATTCTAAGGTAGGAAATTAATGTGGATTACCCTATGATGTAGTTTCAAAAGGAAGACCTCAGAAAAATCCTGGTTCTGCCTAAATGCTTGACATGGCTTCAACTAATAATGCATAATTGTTGCTTCCACTGCAGTAGCCATTCTGAATAAAAATATTAGATACAACTCTCAGCCAGCAAAGTTACTCTAATTCCTTATAGCAGTATTCTTCTACTTGTGAGTTATAGTCCAAGACATTTGGAAGATCAGTTTATGAAAGGATGGTTGATAATATTATATAGCAGTTTGCGTATAACATTAGACTTTTTCAGTGGTGCCAACATGCATTTTTTAATCCTTAAAATGTTTCTAGTGTTTTAATATTTTTAAATTGTAAGTCACCCAGTCATTGAGATGGGCAGCTATAGAAACTGAATAAATATTATCTGTTCTGAAGATTTGCAGATCTCACTGAAGATCTCTGTGAAAAACCAATTAAAGTTCATGTGTAGCTCCACCTCCACCTAGTGTTTAAGACAATAGTGTGAATTCTGAAACATCACTTACCAGCTCTATTTAGTCTGCACTGGAATATCTGTGATGCATTATTACTACAAAGTGTATTAAATCAATCAGCTACCGTATTTTGCTGTCTTGAACAACAAAACAGGACAGAAATATGTCTGCAGACAAACACTTAATCCCACCTTCTTGCATATACTTTGGAGCAGAACTTTGTTATGTGTGAGAAGTTAGTTGCTCATGTTTTATACAAGAATAACATACAATATTAAGTCACAGTGGAGTTCCAGATGAATATGTTCTGCTGTTTCCAGGTCTTCAACCCATTTGGTGTATATTTTCCTAATGGATTGCTTTGATACTCTTTGTTCCCATATTAATCTACCAATTTTCTGTTCTGATTAGTTTCTATAAATTAGAAATGATATGCAAATCTAAAAATAAAATTAAGCCATATTTAATTTTTAATACATAAAATATTTCCAAAAGAAATAATTGTCTTTTCCCATCATTTCAGGAAAATTTACCTGTACTCACTCCACAAATGTAGTCAAAAAGTTGATGAATGGGCTTTCCAGTGAGTTCTTCTAATTTACGAAGAGTCTGAAGTGCCACTAAGCCCCTAAAGAATATGAGAAATGGGCTGTTATGCAAGTTATCATTTGCTAAGCAAAAACCAAGCATTTAACACAGTAGTTATTAGGAGGAGCTTTAGAATCTATTATGTAGGGTTAAACCAGTAACATTCCATTGTGTTATTGCAAATACGTCCTATGCACTGCATCCCAAAAGAGTTTGAGAATTCACTGGAACAGACTTGGAGATGTATGATATGATGGGATAAAGAGGACAATGATGAACAATATATTGATCAACCAAATAATGTAGCCACAATCTTGAACATCTGTCTACTGGTATAACATGGTGTCAGTTTGCACAGAGCACTTTGCCGTGGTTAAGAGTAGTTGTTTACATAAACCACAACTAACTGGGTTGTATAATGTACTAACCCAGCCTTTCTCTAATACAGAGATCTTCCAAGGACAGGAAATTTCAGCTACCAACTGAATTCAGTTCTGGCTTTCCTAATTAGATAATTCTGGGTGTTGAAGTTCACTCCTAAAGAGAGTGCACAGACTGGGGAAAGCTGTGATAAAATGACTTATAATCCACAACTGTGGCATTCACAAACTAAGAAAATTCAAATAGGATGGTGTGGCATATGTCCCAGACCAGTGAATAAGAAACTAACATTGCAAAACTATACATTTTTACTTTAAAATAAGTCCCACTAAGCTTAGCTTAATGAAGGTAGGCTTCACAGATTTACAATTTATTAATTAAAATCTTGAGTATAAAGCAAAAATTCCACAAGGTTAAATTTCTATTAAGCAAATATTTCCAGAACTCTTCACCAGACTATATTTCATAAACAGGGAATAGATAAAAGGAGAATATTAAACATGTTTTGACCAATATTGAAGACAAACCTGTACTAGTTTGGGTCTTATGTACCCTGTTTCTCCAACAATATGGCCTCCCCCAATAGGAAGTCCCAGTATGTTTTATAGGCATGAAATGAAATTAAGCCCCTCCCCGCAAATTAAGGCCTATATTAAAACATGCAAAATGGGGGGGAATGGTGGGGGGGCTTGCCATTAGGAAGAACTTTTGTTGCACACCCGGATATGGTGCTGCCTGTGTTGACACCACCAACGCCGAGGTCAACATCCAAGCCATCGCTGCCCGCCCACCCGAAGATGCAAGGGGGGGGGGGAATTAAGTCACCCCCAAAAAGACAGCCTAGCCATTTTTTCAGGGCTCAAAAAAAAAAAAGACCCGGGCTTATTATATGAGAAACACGGTACTTTTTCTTATTCTGTGCCATTTGCCTACAAACAGTTTTTTGCAGGATCCAATCTGGGTTGGTAATCGGGACCAGAGGAACCAGTCTTCTGAGTTTTCGTACTCATGCTAGAACCCATCTTCAGGGAATTTGTCTCCAGCAGAGCATGTTTATGTGTTCTGTAATCAATGTCAATGAACTAACACAATAGTGATAAAGTATTTTAGATACCAACCTTTATTTATTCATTGATAAATCAATATGGTCTAGCTTTCACAAAAACTTTCAGTGCTCTTTACAATTAAAATATAATAGTTAAAACCAATGCAATTGAAGTCTAAATCAAGAATGAAAATAAATATTATTTAAATAATTTACAATAAAAAGCTTGGCAATGTGCTATGGTGATTAAACAGAGGGCTCTCTGTTCAATAGCAATTGATTAGCTCCAAAGATTCTTTCCCCATGACTGACAAAGATTCCTATCAAAGAAAAGGGACTTTGGATCCAACCCACGTTTTTGCTTTCTTTTACTATTTTCTGACTGATATCAAATGTATAATATATTGTACTAGAGAAACTAGTGCAAAAAATAAAAATAAACACTATCTCTAAGTGATGAGGCTGTTAAATGAAACATAATGGTGACAATGCAAGACCTATGTCACTTCTGCTGCAGTTATTTAGCAGAAGGTTTCGCAACCTTTTCAGCTTTGTGGCCCAACAGGGAGGAAAAAGAGGGGATGGTTCTGTGTGCGCGTCGGGCAAACACGTGCACACAACTCTATTGGTGCAAGCAGCAGGCATGTGCACTCACTGTTTGCATGAATGGACCGAGCATGCATGTGCTCGCCCGCTGTTTGCGACCTGGTTAGGAAAGTCTTAAGGCTTGGTAGTGGGCTGCAGCCCAGGGGTTGGGGACCCCAATTTAGTAAATCACCAGAGGCCGTTAAGCATAACATCACGTGGCTACAACTTGCAACTTCCTGCCAGCTTCCCCGTTGACTTTGCTTGTCGGAAATCAGCCGTGAAGGTCACAAATGGCAACCACGTGACTGCAGGATCCTGCAACCATCATAAATGCATGCTGGATGAAAAGCACCTGAACTGTGATCACATGACTGAGGGGGAAAATGTGACAGTCACTAGTTTGAGGACAGACTGTAACCTTACTTTTTAGTTCCATTGTAAATTCAAACAGTCAGCTGATAGCGAGGACTACCTGTCATGTAATTCTGTCTGATAGATGTGAAATATTAGTTTGGAGAACTGTATGCATTCTCAGTTTTTGAACTGGCTTTTATCCATACAATAATATGATTCCATTAATGGAAGTTTAATTCATTCTTAAGAACAGTAGTTATTATAACCTAAATACATTGTTATGATCCAGGTGGTCACGGTTAGGGAGGCCTCTAGAGAGTTCTCTATTTCTCTTGGGATTGGTTAAATAAATGGCCCTCCACTGATCAGTAAGGCTCCACCCTCAGTCCTCCAAACAACGGCCCATAGGTTACCCAGCCAGTCCACAAGGCAAAAGTCCACAAGGCATATGACAAGGGCAGTCCTCACGGCACACGAAACAAAAGTCCAGATATAAAACAAAGACAGTTTCAAAGGCAAAGTCTTCAAGGCTAGGGCAAGACAAACAGCAGACCATAAAACAAGGTGGGGTAAAATAATTTAACAACCAGTTCGGCAGATCCAATACTTCATTTTTTGTTGAGTTCAACGAACCGGCTCTGAAATGGCCAGAGTAGCATGCATTCACATGCCTCCAATCCCTTGTTTGCTGCAATCTGGCTTTGCACAAGCAAGGGGGTTGAAGGCATGTAAATGCACACTAGTCAGGCGTCTCAAAAAACCGGGTACCCCCCCCCCCCCCCGTCCTAGATTACTGTATACTATTCTGAGTCTAAATGAAATTTTTTTAAAAAAATATGAATGACTGTTTTTGGTCTTACACTTACTTAGACACTGCAGTTAGGGGTTTGGAAAGAAGTCCGGAGAGTTTAAGCCAGAGAAAGGTGTTGTATGCAAAACATGTGAACTAAATTCTCAACACACCCAGCATCTACACCGCAACTTAGAAGAAGAGGTATCCCTTCTTGGTGAAAAAGGATGGGTTCATAGGAATAAATAAGAAAAAAAAAATCCCAAGCTTGAAAAATCAGACTTGAAAAAAAGTTCGCTTTGCCTGATTTAAAAATGCCAGGTTTAAATATGCAATTCAGTGATGTGACAAAAAAAAAAAAGTTCTAAAGTCATAAAGTGGACTGTACCACTCCCAAATGGAGAGAAATTGTAATGTCATTTACTTCTTCTCCACAATATTAAAAACTCCATTTGGGAAATCATCACAAAAAGAAGCAAAGGGCTTGGATTCAAACTCTTCTGTTCCCCACCCGGCTCTGCTGTTTTTCCTACTTGTAGATAAAAAAATTTATTTAGAGAAACAATTGAGAAAGTGGGCCCTTACCTACCTTTTGAAATGGAATAGTCCATTTTGCTACCAGAAGTCTTCTGATCTATCATGTGCACGTAATTCCAGGCTGGCTGTCCACTATGGAGGCAATGATTCACCCAAATACTTTGGATATCAGTAAAAAACTTAAATATTATCAACTTTTGGATAATCAAGGAAGACTCAAAACAACTCAAGAATTAGAAACACAGGGAATAGTTATAGATTGGTGGCCGTACCTTCAAGTGCAGATGAAATATAAAAAAGATTTAGAAGAATTCGGATTTGAAACAAAAACAACCCAATTAGATAAAATATTGTTAGGACCAGAAGAAAAAATAATATCTAAAATATACAAATATTTGCTAAATTTTGATTTAGAAGAGGAAATTGTTAAAGGACCAATGTTGACCTGGGCAAAAAAAACTTGGACGTAATATTGAATTGGATGACTGGGAAAACGTATGGCAAAACAACTTTTCCATGACAAAATCAGTTGCTTACAAAGAAAACTTATATAAAATGCTCTATGGCACTTAGCACTATCTAGGCTCACAAAAATGTACCCCAAATTGAACCCGAACTGTTGGAAATGTAAGAAAACACAAGGCACCTTTTTTCACATCTGGTGGCTATGCCCAGAAATTAAGAAATATTGGATTAAGATACAAAGATGGCTAGAGGAAATGACACACTGCAGATTGGAGTGGAAGCCGGAAATTTCTCCTGAGAATCATTAAAGAGAAATATCCCCAAAAGATTCGATATTTGATTATACATATATTAATGGCGACATGAATTGCCCAGACCTGGAAGATGTCTACCACTCCATCAAATGACATTATAATTTGCAAAATTTTGGACTGTGTATAGATGGATAGACTCGCACTGAAATTAAAGGACAAAGAGGACTCAGAGTACTACTTAATCTGGAATATCTGGTATTAATGGTTAGACAGTAAAACATGATAAAGAAAGGTCAAAAAAGGAAATAAAATTGATATACAAGTATATAGGTAGGAAAAGGAGAAGTTGTAGAAAAGGAGGAACTGTTAGAAAAATGGAGACTTAATAAAACATCTATATTCGGATTCATAAATACCAATGTAGAAATACATATATTGTACAATTAAAAATATGTACTCCGCTTCCTCCCATGCTAACGGAATGTTAAAACATAATACATAGATTATAATTACTCCTGACTTTTTATAGATAGATAGATAGATAGATAGATAGATAGAGACAGAGATAGATAGATATACTCAGTATTAACATGATACTCCTTTTCATACTTGAACTATTGACCTATAAAGATGAAATATTTTTGTTTGTTAATAGTAGCAAAACACTGTGAATTAATACCACTAATACGATAAATAACTGTCAAATATTATGTGTATCTACGGCATTTATGGTACTGCCAAGAAAGTGATGTTGAAAGATATTGACATAATTTCTTCTACAGAAACTTTTGCAAATCTTTTTAATATTTGTATTTTGTAAATATTTTAATATCTTGAATTTCAATAAAGAATGTTTTTAAAATTAAAAAAAATATATAAGCTTGACTTGTCTGTATAGAATAGAATACAGTATGTGCTTACATTTTAAATTTTAAATTTCACTTGAAAATGTAAGTCACTGAAAGGGAAAATAACTAATGTTGATCAAAAGCATAATATTTCCTCTAGTTAAAATTCCAAAATATCATCATCATAATTATTGATAAAATTAATAATATGAATATGTGTACTGCCCAATTCTCAATGATTTGGGGTAGTTACATTTATAGTTTTATGAAAACAATTTGCTGGCTATTATAATTGTGACAAGAGTTCTCAGTAATGCAAACATTACTTTTTAAAATTATTTTATTTATCAAACTTAATAGTTTTTTATCTGAGTTCTGTTATTTTAATGTTTCTATATTTATGATTTTATGGTATCTTAAGCTCCAAGAGACACATTGGAAAGGAAGATAGGCAGTATACAAATGTAATAAATGCATATATAAATAAAACATTTGGTTTAATTTAATATCAATTGTAATTAATATTTTTGTACTTTCATTTAATCATTTTTAGCCAATTTGAACTCAACAACAGAAAATAAATGGAATAAATACAAATAAAAAACCTAGTTTAGTTTAACTCAGATAATTACCAGTATTGTTTTATTACATCAGGACTGGAATATATAAATTCAAATCTTTGAAGAGACCTTTAAAGATTATTAACTTTTCTCTTATAAAAATTTTATTTGGGTTTTCACAAAACATAATACAAATAGTAAAATTTCTTTTTTTGAGAATAGCATGGTCCCGGGTTATCACTTCTCCATACAGACACAAATTCAATTTCATATTCATCTTTGTGTTCTATTCCATATCTTATTACTATTTTAACATTTTTTCAATATTTTTTCCCTTCCCTTAGTTTCCTCAATCTTACTTTTAATTATCTCATTCCTTTTTAAATTCAATTATATATATATATATCTTTTTCAAAGTTTCAATATCTTTCTAGTCATTATATTTATACTTTTGTCTGTCCTGTTTCAATTTCATATTTTCTTTTCTCATTAAACAAAATTTTTCCCTGTAGTTACTAATTGGAGTATGACACCTTTGTATCTTTTAATTTTTATCCATTCAACTCTTAAAACTTCAATTTATGCCTTTGCAATTATAACGTTCAATATAACACATAACTTCCAGTTGAATTCTGCCTGGTACATTCTTAAAATACGCACTAAGTTCTTAAATAAAATACTTATTCTATTCCAATTCAGCTCTATCATTAATGTTAGTTATAATCTTTGACATCTTTAAACATTTCTTTTCAATAGGATATCATACTTCTAGGAACACTTATAATATTTCCATAATTTTTCCATGTTTCTTTCATATTCCTCTTTGCTTAAACTTTTATAACACATTTATAATAATTAAAATGTTCCTCTCCTTTCCTAATTTCATTCTCTCATTCTCTTTATTTCATTTATTTATTAAACATTCCACTACATTACAATGAGTATTTTATCTATCATTTTAATCACACTTGTTTCATATTTTCAGAGTTCATTTCTATTCCTAATATAACAATACTATCTTATGTACCCTTGCAGAATCCCCCTTTCAATTAAGTTTTCACCCATTATCTTTGTGTCTTCTAAATAGGCTTATACCCTTAATCCTTGTATGTTTTCCCTGTTTCTCTATATCCTGTTTCTGTCCTTTATAATTTCTTTTCCTTTCCCTCTTCTCCCTCTTCTTCTCCCTTCCCTTTTTGACCCCTTCTCTCTCTAATTCTGATTCTCTCTTCTGTAATCCTCTCTTCTGTTTCTTCCTAATGTTGTAATTCCTTTTCAAACTATTCTTTTTTTGGGTTGTTTTATTAACTTTTCAATTTAATGTACCACCGAGATTTGCACAAATCGAACTGAGAGTAATCTGAATGCTATTCTCAGATTCTAAGAGGAATACCAGCAATGTATCAGTTAGTATCACATGAATGACATCTGAATTTCTTTCTGCCTATGTTTCCGTGTAACCTCCAGACTGAACATGCAAACAAGGTCAAATCTTTTTTTTTAAACTCAAATTGACCCAAAGTTACCCCACATCTGTCAGGCATGATAAAATATATTGTTTCAGGGACAAGATAACAATATAAAAATGTAAAAGTAAATCACCAAAACCTCAATTTCTCTCTAGTCATAATCCCTTTCAAGCTATAAAATTGTTATGGAAATTTGTTTTGCTGGTGAGTTAAGAGAAAAATGCTTACCATATTTTTTGCTTCATAAGATGCTCTGAACCACAAGACACACCTAGCTTTTGGGGAGGAAAAGAAGAAAACAAAAAATCTGCCTCTGCCTTCCAACCCCAGCATTTGGCTTGTCAGGGCTCCGCTCCTCCACTCTTTTCAGCCAAAAGCTCTTGAAGCTACAGAAAAATTTCCCATAGGTGAGGATGTCCCCACAATGGATTTTTTCTCCTGGGACCCGGCTCTATTCTGTTGCTATTGCCACTGCCTATTGCTGCCGCCGTTGCCACTTGTGGCCTCTCGCTGCTCACTGCCTCGCTGCAACTGTCATTTGCCACCACCGCCTATTGGCGGTTGGTTCAGCCTCCCAGAATACCGCCAATCAGCTGTTCCAGGCGGTAGGGATCGCTGCCACCTATTGCCACCGCTGCCGTTCGCCACACAAATGGCGATGGCAATCCCTGCTGCCTGGAACAGCTGATTAGCAATATTCCAGAATAGGAATAGGCAGCAGCGGCTACAGGCCACTCGCCGCTGCCTGTCACTGCTGCCACACCAAACCCCCCTCCTGCGGCCCGGTCTGTGACGCAATGTTTATTCCATAACACGCACAGACATTTCCACCCACTTCTGAGAGATAAAAAAGTGTGTCTTATGGAGCAAAAAATATTGTATATGACAGCATCTAAATTAAATAAATACCTTGTTCCTCCACCATCAATGGAAAGAATTCGAATGCCCCACCCTTTTACTCGGTCTGTATAGCCAATCACAGCCAAGGCCTCTCTCACAGCAGCCTGTAGTGCTTCATCTTTTGTCTGCCTAAGTTTCAGCAAGCATGGAATGACATTTTCCTATAATAAAAATAAAGATTTTTGCTGATAATCCTGTTATACCACACACCTGAAGCTATTATATATACAAGTTCCCTAAGATTAAATGAAAGTAATGATAACCTTGAACATTTAACACTTGACTCAACTCTTAAGCAATTTGTGAGAAAATAAACACTGGTGAAATAGCCAAGATTACTTCTGAACAAATATACTATTAACAGGTTGCTGGAATCTTTCAACTGCCAAAAGTGTAATTATGGCTAACGTTTTAAATCACAGATCAGTGTAAGAAGACAGTGGAATTACAAAGAATACAGCAGCTATAACTACACATAGTTAGCCAGTTTCTATTATCACAAAGAAATGAATTATCTTCAGAATACTTTATACTACAGTCCTGTATCTTTAAAAAAATTATAAAAACTAGAAATCGTCATTGGTACAAATTTTGATATGAGGTAAGAAATGTCAAGGACTTTATTTCTTAAAGTCACTTTATCTGAAGTGGGTGTCAGTATCTGGGGCTGACAGTGGAAACAATTGCAGGTTGGCAAAGGGGTGGGCTATTAAAATGAAAAGTGGTTAGATCCACTGGGCTACTACCAGTTCGCACTGGTTCAGGCGAACCAGTTAATTTTATGGCCAGTTCGGCGAATTGACAAATCCCACCCCTCTCTGGCCCCGCCCTGCCCCGCCCCACCCCCTCCAAGAGTCCCCACACAGCCCATTTTGAACCACAGATAAGTGCAGGGCCTGTGCAGAGGCTCGGCGAGGGCGAAAAATGGGCCTCTTGGAAGTTTCCAGCTTCCAGAGAGCCTCCGGAGCCCAGGGAGGCTGTTTTCACCCTCCCAGAGGCTCGAAGAAAGCCTCCGGAGCCTAGGGAGGGTGAAAAACGGGCCTCCCGGAAGTTCCAGAAGGCCAGAAATGGGTCCGTTTTCGGCCTCCAGAGAGCCTCCGGAGCTGGGGAGGGCGAAACAGCCCCCCTGCAGCCCGTTTTCACTCCCAGGGTGGTGCAGGAGGCTGACTAGGCCATGGCCACCCAGCAACTGGGCAGAGAACCAGTTGTTAAATTATTTGAAGCCCACCCCTGGTTAGATCCACACTGTTATCTCTGATTCTTTTATCTTTCTCCTCACCTTTTAGATTGCCAAGTAATGAAGAGACTGACTGTTAGCAGGCTCAATAAATCAACTGAAGGTTTATAGGTTGCCCACCATTATACAAAATATTAAAATCCTTGATTTCTGTTAGTTCAGGTATAAAGTAGCATGCAAATTTAGCATTATATCTAAAAGCTACAGGATAAAATGTCCCATTCTCTTTGACTTCCAGAATAAACTCCCTCTTTCTCACAATTAAGAGCTATTCCCTATTTAAAGTCAGATAAAGTAAAGATCAAGGTTTCCTCTGTCCAGTTGTGTCTGACTCTTGGGGGATTCATCTCCATTTTTTAGTTGAGGGAGCCCGCACTGTCTGAAGACAATTCCAGGATCATGTGGCCACCATTACTGTATGCCAAGGCACACAGAATGCTGTCACCCTCCCATCAAAGTGGTACCTATTTATCTACTTGCATTTGCCTGCTTTTGAAGTGCTAGTTGGAGCTGGGCAAATAACATTGTGCGGTGCTTGGGTCTTGAATCTGGCCTGTCGACTTTCCAGCTGACAAGCCCAGCATCTTTAACTGCTGGGCCATCATGCCACCTTAAAGTGAAATAATACTACCTTAATGGCGATGCCTCTACTATCTGGAAATTCCAACAGATGGTATGTCAGTTCTTCAACTCTGTTGATACAGACTCTTCTAGTAGACGATCTTCGCAATGCTTGAGTTAAAGCCCGAGTTCTATTATCTACACTAACCTTTGCAATAATCTGAAAACAAAACCAAAAAAACCCTATAAATATCAAGGAAATGTTTGCAAAATAATTAAGTGCATTGATCCATTTGAAAAAGATATGTGCACATAATTTATCATTTTCTTCAAATATGTAGCATGTATTTAAATTTTTTATAAGTGAAACAGTAATTTTGTGTACTTTGATAGAAATTCTAATTCATAAATCTTTCATAATAATAAATGGATTATGGATTCAGAAATATAGGTTCTATTGAGTTTAATGTGGTTTGCTCCTTATTAAATATGTGAGTAAAGCCTTACTGCTTTCACCTTTTAGACTGCTTTCACTGCTTAAAAATAAATATATTAAGATTATGTTACTGAAATACATCAAAAATATATATTTAAACCAAATTATTTTTGTAACTTTATCTTTCAAGAAAATATGTTTGTCTGTGAAGTGAATGTGTTTGTCTATTGGTTCTCAGCTGCTAGTTACATATTTATTTTATGTTCTTGCTCGTTTTAATTGTTAGCTACCAGAGAGTTCTTATGCCAATTATTCATATACCACTGAATACAACTTTTGGCATCCCCATTACTAATCACACTAATATGAGCTATAGTTCACAATAGGGAGAAGACCATGGATTTTGTACTCTTGATTTTTTTCTGGTAACTGGCAACTGAACAGTAACACAATCGTTAATTTTGTCAGACACAATTTTATCGAAGATATTTTTCTTCTCAGGTCCACAAAAATCAGTTTAGGAAAGATGATCTAATAATCACATTTCTGTCCACTAATAACTTTATAGTTTTGCTGTGACTTATTTGGGAGAGTTGACCAGAATATAGGCGTCATAAAAGAAACATAAGTTTAGGGTGTTTTTTTTTTACAAATTAGGTCTTCAGTAGCAGATTTTGAATAAAAACTGAAAGTGTTCTATGCTTGTATTTTTGTATGTGCATGTGTGCTCATGGATGTCAATCTGTATTCATATTGCATAATAATTCTAGTAAGTCTACAACAGCTCTGTAACACAGAATTCCCCAAGTCTCAAAACAGTAAATTATTTATGATTACTAAAGGCTGCCTTGAAATAAGCAGGTAAAACTGGCTTTATAAATCCATTGATAATGGATCATCTTCTGTTCCCAAGATAGTGATGCGCAACAATGAACATTTCACATATGCATGGGGAGTACCTTCTGTAGAGTAAGATGGTGCCCATCTATTCTATTTAATACAAAATTACTTCAAATAAATTGTTTGTCCTCATTTAAGATACCACTGTAAACATTCACACCAAAATATATTTCACCGTGAATACTGTCATGGAACCTGAAGTCTACAACAGAGGACAGCCTTGGCTGTCTATTCCAATTATACACGGAGAGTTTCCCCTGAAATAACGATGAGGGGGGATTTCAATTTACTACTGTTGATAAAACTTTTTCTTATATTGTTGCCAATTAATGCATTATAAACTCCTATCTACAAGAAAGACATGTACCTTTTCTCTTTGAAGTTTCAGCCTTTTTTCCTTCTCTTCTTCACTTTTAGCTTCCTTGTCATCTTTCAACATGTCCTCTTGTTTCTGTTCTTTAGTCTTTTCTTGCACAGCAGATTTTGTATCAGATCGTAACTTCGGTACCAGGCCTCCAATGTAACTATCCACAAAAGCCTGTACACTGTTACTAGGATAAGAAAGAAAACTTGAAATACCCTTTTTACTGGAAGTTGGAGGAGAAGGGACTTTTTCAGCATTTGATGACCGCGAGGTCGGCACTAAAGCAGATACTGCACTCATCCTGTTTTCATCACTTAAAATGTCATCTTCTGAGGAATTAAATGTTTCTTCACCTTGTTTGGATTGGTTAGGGGAGAGAACACTCCCTTTCTTCTCTTGATCCATTCCAACAGTGCTAAAATACCAGTTGATATGATGGGCTATAAAGTTGTATGTTTCCCCAAAGTTTGTAGCAAATTTGCTAACATGAAAAAGACTATTTTTGATCTCTGAGGGATCCTTCAAAGAACTTTGACTGGTATTAACTGACGCTAAGCCTCCATCTGCAGACACAGTCTTTTTCTCATGAAAGTTATCATCATAATCCTCCTGATAGATTTCACCTGGGGCTTCTCCGTATTTTTCTGAGCTGATAAAAAAGCTATTATCCTTCCCATCAGCTTCAACCGATTTTTTCAGTATAGCAGACTGAGGTTTTAGACGAAGTAGCCGTGAAATTAGTTCACTGTGAGTGTCAGACACAGCCTTGGAGACAGATTCTAAAGTATTCTTCCATCGTGACATGTGATTGTTTTTGGTCAATTCCTTAGAAGTGCTAAATTTAGAAATTCTGTAACCCAAACAGTAATGGCAGTAGAGGTACTTCTGCCACTCTGTTTTGCCTCTTGTCCATTTATAGCATCGGCTGCTTATGTGTAACACTCTAAAAGGAGAAGCATAGCTTATCCTCCAAAAAAGTTCAGATCTGTAAAAATAGTGTAGTTTTCCAGTTCTCTGTCCACTCCAGAGATGTTTTGTACTAAATGTTAGGTACACATATTTATCTAAAAGAAAGTGAATTGACATTACTTATAAAAACAGAAATTGTCCATAAATTCTTTCTCTCAAAAAATCTTATTTTGGAAACAAACATTAGGTTCATAATATTACCTGGAACAGAAGAAGGAAAGAGCATCACTTTATTATGTACATCAGATTCCATATAAACCAAGATTTTTAAGAGAAATATACTTGTTCCTCACCTAGAACAGCATATATTAGGGACACAGCTGTCAAAATTCCAAATCATTCTGACCAAATGCCAAGTTGTAGTTCTAATACATGGCGAATATCAGCTTAAAGAAGTGGCACAATGGTTAGAACGCAGTAATGCAGGCTAATTCTGCTGATGCCGCCAGCCAGCAGTTTGGCAGTTCCAGTCTCACCAACTCAGGTTTGACTCAGCTTTCCATCCTTCTGAGGTCAGTAAAATAAAGAGCCAGATTGTTGCACACAATATGCTGATTTACAATCGCTTTAAGTGATTTACAATCGCTTAAAGAGTGCTATAAAGCACTATGAAATGGTATATAAATCTAAGTGCTATTGCTATTTTAAAAGGCTGGTAAGGAAGCTCATCAAATTAATAATTGTTTCATGATATAAAGCTCTTCCAAAAAATATAGTGATAATGAAAAAAAGATAACCAGAAACAGAGTTATCTAGGAAAGTGTTAAAGATCCCCAGATTCAGCATCTTATACAGAGGCAAGATATGCCATGCATCAATAAAATTAGAAATTTAGCACATAAACATTATGATCAATCCAAAATGCATGGCACATGCCTGCAAGAACACGGGAATTCTTCAGAGTAAATAAATATAAATTACTCAACAGTTAGCCCAGTCATGTCAGAAATATTGACAACACCCTAAAACTTTCCAATCATTCTTCAGTCAATTAATTCTTCTTCAAATACTGTGATTTTCCATTCTATTCTGGCACAAATCATTTTTCTTTAATAATCCACCTTTCAACCCAGCAGCCAATCTCTCTAAAATGGTACTTTGGGGAAATGTCTCAAGAAACAGGTGCTTAGCATAATAAAGCCTGTTAAAAAGCTGTATCAAACTCAAACGGTACTAAGATTCCTACACCATTTGCAGCACCTCATGCTATTGGTCACCCAAATATTTTCAAGGAAAGAAAAAACCGCATCTGGCAAACCAAGATGTTTAAGACACAAACTAGCAACAAGATGGCAAGTCGTTGACAAACAAGATCATGGGACAAGACTTTGCATCGAGTTTTTTTTTTTTACAAACCACAAAAAAAATCTCCTGGAAGCATTAGAATCATTTAAGAATACATCCTCTGGCTGAACCCCAGAATGTATATGCGGTCAGATATACACCATACAGTCAAGAAAGGATCCTCTAGGACAGGGGTCTCCAACCTTGGCAACTTTAAGCCTGGTGGACTTCAACTC